AAAAAAAAACAACTTTTTCAATTCCCATTAAACTCTTTAATCATAAAAACGATGGTAAAGGTTGACCCCCCCCCCCCCCCCCCCCAAAAAAAAAGCATATCTACCAAACAGCGAGTAACAATGATGCTTTTTCAATAGTATTATCTAAGAGAAGAACTCAAATGATCTGTAGACACATGATTCGCTAAATCAAGAAACTTCTCTCTGGAAGTTTTTTGCATCTGTTCATGCACTAAAAAAAGCAGGGTTTATCTTTAAAAAGTTTTCAAAAAGCCCTTTTTTTGTTACTCTTCATTTTCCAACTCCACTAGTTCAGGCACAACTGCTTCCACTTGGAAGTAGTGCTTTTTCACAGCCTACTGAACAAAAACTTTTCTGCATTATTAGGTATGAACAACAAAACACAAGACACCTTCCATAGCTAACCGATGTAGTTTAAAAGGAGATTCATAAACTGTGGGCAACAACATTATCTCTTGCTCAAATGCCCCACAAAAATATTAAACTGTCACACTGACCCATCAAACTAAAGTACATCCACTATTATTTTAAAGTAAAATCTTGTCTAAGACGCCGCGAAGTGGTATTATCCAGACTTCAAATCTCCTGTCTTCTCTGTTTTTATCCAACATTGACAGAAAAACAAGAAGTTTCTTCACCTCTTAAATGGCAGAAAAACGAACTCAGAAAATATCAAAAATTGGCAAAACTTCCCGTAACTTTCCAAAATAGATTTTTGGCAAACGCACACAGTGCGAAGACTTACGATTAAATAAATAACTATGAATCCCCTCTGTAGAAACTAACCTTTTTAAAGAATAATTAAACAAATTATAACTCACATATACGAACATACGACACACGCGCTCAAAAACATTTCATCAGTTCAAAAAATGATTAGAAAACACCAGGTTGTACGTCACTGTAGTCTAAATCGAAAAACCAAATGAAGTGTCAACAACGACTTAGCACTTATACATAAACTCCGAAACAGAGAAAAGTACTCAAACAAAAAATAGGAAAAAAGCCTGTAAAATAAAAAACCGCTTCCACCCATCTTCACTTTCAAAAAAGCAACTAACCGCCTATATACAGATGGTACGTCCAAAATGTGACTATTAATTATGCAAATAATACCTGTTGGAATTGATAAAAATATGACAAACTATTAGCATTCTTACATAACTTAAAAGTGAATACGACCCAAAAATAATCCAGCTATATCACTAAGAAAGTGAGAAGCTAAGTATGGCCTTAAACATAAAAAGCTGTTCCGTTCAACCTCATATCTAATGAAAAAGTCTACAAAAGTAAATATAACATCAAAACAAGGAGATTTTTGTTCCTAATCGTAATTCCATTGTTCAAATGTAATCTCTCCGGTGTTGTAACACCACCGCGAAGTAAACACAAAGAAAACAAGTACCTAAAGTTAAGTATTGAAGAAAATTTGTTGAGTCATTTATAAATATGTGAGCCTCTAGCTGAAAATTGTACAAAGCCAAAGCTTTGAGCAACATTCAGCACCTCTACTAGTCAAACAACTTTGCGAGACGATTTTTTGCATCTTTAAGACGTCTTGTCTTATCGTGAGCCAGTTTTTGATCTGATGCCGAATGATGTAAACCTAAAACATGTATTTGCTTCCCAGCAGACCTAACGAAACTGGGAACACGTGCGCCAACATCATTCTGTTCACAACGAGGCAACGCAGACTTATCCTAAAAATGATTGCATGAGAACAAATAAAGTCAATATCGGCTAAAAGAACTTGTGACTTCCTAAAAATGTCACGCGGAAAAAATTGCTTTACTGCATATTAGTGATTACCAAATAGTTATCTAACCAAAAACACTTATGTCAAAAACTAAGCTTTTAGATCAATAAGAAAAACATGTAACATTTTAAAAACACTTACGGAATTGGACCTACGATGCTGACAACGGAAAACAGCAATAGACGGGTAAGGTAAAAATCCAATCATTTTTGGGACTATAGAAAACGACGCCTGTCCGAGACCACTTTCTTTAACATGTAAAACTAAAAAAAATAATGTTCTAAATTATACCCAATCAAAAGTTGTATCAACCAAGAAGAACAGTTTTAAAAAAAAAGGCTGCATATTCTAAAAAAGATAAAAGAATTTACCAAAAAAAGTTTATAAGAAATAAGCTGTTATGAAAAAATTATAATCTATAGACTTACATTTCTGTTTCTCATTAATAGACCACTGTTCATCATCTGCATCTATTGATATAATTACAGTCTCAGATCTTGTCGAGAGGCTTCTTAAAGATACTATAAGATCACACGGACTATCAATTCTACAAAGAACTGCGCCAGGCTGAGCTGATAGAACTTGAGCGAAGAGTTCATACAAAGCCTGAAACAAACAAGCATAGAACCATCCGAAAGTAGCTGATAATTTCAGCGAAACTAATCCTTACTTTCTTGTAAGGAACGGCAAAAACATCGTCGTAGTTGTGTGTTCGGTTATAAACAGCTTCTGGAACATTATTATAAACTCCATTAACTGAGCGAACTCGATATTTAAAATTGAATTTTAACTCCGCAACGTCATTTTTCTGATTGATTTCGTCATCCAAAACCCAGACAATACGATATAAGCTTGAAGGCAAGATATCCTTTAAAACCTTCCGTTAAAGGAAATATGACTCAAAGACAAGAAGCCTGAGAAAAAGTTCAGCAAAATCATTTTGGATGCAAAATTTATTTCTTACCACGCTGTCTTAATAGCCCAACAAAAAACAAAAAAACTCCTTTGAATCAAAAGATATACTCTCAAAATCGTTCCAAAAAACTTTAATAATCTAGGACTGCTAGAGAGGACCCTCTCCAGATCTCGCAATGAAGGAAGGCTCACTCAGATGCACATACAAAGCAAACATCTATCGATTACCAAAAAAAATAAAACAAATCTCTTTCAAAATTAGGCATTCATTTGCAGACTGCTTTTTCACAGCAGTGTGAAAGTAACTGAAAGAAGGTTTAAACGTAAACCGCAATAAACTTTGATTAATTATTTCTAGAAGGCTTACTTTCAGAGTTATACAAAAATGATTTCGGGAAAAATATCCAAAATCACGAAAAACGTAATCTTGCAGAATTTGAAGTTACGCGGCAGAGAGTAACGTGAGACAACTTTTTTCTAGCAATTCCGAGACCTCAACAACACCTACCACCTTTTCAGGTTTGCAAGAAAACAATACGCTCAGAACAAACAAATATTACCATAAAATCCTATTGTGCCAGATAAAAAAAAATGCTCAGAGTTTCCGAGTCACCTTTTAATTATTTTCTAAAACATCACTTTCGTCGCAAGTAGAAAACGAAATATACGAAAGGCAGGTCATAAAAGACATCAAAACAATTAAAATTCACTTCCATAAAAAAGCTGCAAACTAATTGTTATAATGATCGAAAAACTGGTCTCTCTTACTGCCCACAAAGGTACAGTTTCTCAGGATAAAAATTATTTGAACAGGATCCTTTAACTTGCAAGAGTCCAAGGATTATTATGAGCAGTCAACCAATCTTTAAAAAAAATGTTTCCTTGAGAATGTAAATTTTAAAAAATTCTTTCGGCTCTAAAACTAATTAAACGTCGAATAAAGAACGAAATTACCGTCAATTTTGGGTTAAGTAACTTTGCGGGCTTTTGCAAGTCTGATTCGCAGGCAGTAACAACAGCTTCTTCCGGGATCACCACCCAGCACGAGTTATCTGAACGGAGAAACTGCAGATCCAATAAGAGCCTGTAATATTCATAATTAAGCTAGAAATAAGTTTGTAGTAAGACTTATTAGAAAAGTTTAATTTATAAAACTTACTTATCTTCGAGCAAAGACGTTGCTTTTTTTACTTGTAAGATCGGCTTAAATGATATGTCAAACTTCCATTCAAGACCTTGCCAAGTAACTACTAACTGAAACACGTTTACGATGCATTAAGTCAGCAGCATTGTCGATATGGATTGACTTGAAAAGTGTTTCAAAACCTTTTTAAAAAATAACGACTTGTTTTCCTCAGAGCAGTATTTTATCAAGTTATGCAGTAGGCAGCACACATATACAGGTACGGTAGCAGATAATCCAGGCGAGCCTTTTCCAGCAGAGAGTTTACACTTTCGTGACCACTTGGAGTCCGAGGGCTTCTAAAGACAAGTTAATTAATCTAGATGGTAAGATAACCGTAGAATTTTTCAACAGGAGGTGATGGGAGATGAACACTGAAAGCTAAGGATGGGAAACCAAATTAACCCAAAATTAAGAGAGAACTAACCCAAAATTCAACAGCTGAATGATCAGCAGTCTCCACTTCCAAAAAGTATTCCTTCTCAACATCAACTTCTGAGCCAAAAAATAGTTCAATTTCTATTAGTTGGGAAACGCCAGCATACAAATCATCTTAAAACAAACTAGTAAGATGTTAATTAGGCACACTAAAGGTAATGTTGTTCTAAATTCAATGACCGCCAAAAATGTACTCACTTGTTTGATTTTTTAAACGGACAGATGGCATTTTTTTGTATATAAAACAGATTGGACGCAGCGACGTGTTGAAGTCGGCTTCCAGCAGATCAGACAAGGTAAACGAAAATTTTAAAGAATTCATAATCGTAATTACAACATGTTCCAAAGCAAAAGTGCCAAAATATTGTGCCTGAAAATCTTCAAAAACCTGATTCGCTGACTAAATGAGCTACTTATGAATTATAGCGCCATTCATAAAAGATCAAAGCAGACTGAGCATACTACAGAACTGATGCTAGACAAAGAATTAATACGAATTAAACAAACAAAATAAGTACTTTAGCTTGAAGCTCCAATACTGTTTGACCAGAAGGTAGAGAACACGGAAGACTTTCAATATTTTTAAAAACAATAAAGGTCCTGTCCATTTTCTTATCGTAGACAGCTTGCTCTTCTTCACAGACAAGTTTATTTGAAGACTTTCGCCTTGGTAAAACATATCCGAATCGAGCAACTCCTTCTGAAGCCTAAAAAGCTAAATCATTGCTTTCTTCAAGGTTAAGATTCCGAATT